AGCAGCGGACGATCCCTTTCTTTACACTGTATGGATGGTGGGAGTTTAAATTGAGGTACTGTCCGGTGAATGTCGGTTTACGGTATATGGATGTCTTAAACCCATGCTCTGTTTGAGATATTAGAACATCCAGGAATGGGAGTATGTTGTTACTCTCTTTCCCCATTGTGAACTGTATCGAAGGTCTTATTCAGTTCACATGATCCAGTAGAACCTGAACATCTTCCTGGTGTGGCTAGAGTATGAACGTGTCATCTACGTATCTTAATCATATAGTTGGCTTTAGAGATATAGATTCTAATACCATTTCCTCAAAGTATTCCATATATATATTCGCCATTGCTGGTGATAATGGCGAGCCCATTGCAAAGCCCTCATCCTGTCGATATATGTGTGATCCCATTTTGAAGTGTGGTGTTTGTGTACAGAAAATCAATATCTCCATCAGATTATCTATTGGAATACTGGTCCGTTCTTCTAGGGATGAGTCAGAGGCCAATCTGTCTCTGACTACTGAGAGTGTCTCCTCCGTTGGTACCTTGGTGAACAGACTTTCCGATCAATGGGCCAATTATATCTACAAGGAAGCGACTCCAAGAGTGGCACACGGAGCCTTGGCACTAACAATTGGCCTGAGCAGAATACCGTCTTTGTAAATCTTAGGGAGACCGTATATGTGAGGTAGCTTGGGGTAACACTGCGATAACTGCCTATACGTCTTAGGTGCGAAGTGATCCTTGTTATTGATGATTATCTGTGACAGTTTTCGTTCCGTTTTCATTGTAGGATCCTTTTTTTTCCTATGCTGTAGCTACCGTTGCTAATGAGGTCTTCCAGCTTTCTTGTATAATCTGATTTGTCCATCACTACAGTCGCATTGCCTTTGTCAGTCGGTAGTATGATGATGTTTTCGTTCCTCTGATCGCCAGCCTCTCCAGTTTTGTTAGACCTGGGCGACTTGGCCTTCTCCAAGGTCAGTCTCACCTTCTATCTCAGTTCATCCGCCTGAACCTGAGGGATGTTCAAGACCACCTCATCGACTCTGGTAATGATGTCCAAGTAATGATGACGAATCAAGCCGAGCTTGAGCAGAAAGGGACCCGGACGAGGTTCCGCTGAAGGGCAGAATCTCGTTCGGGGAAAATGACCAACCCGATCTCGTTTATACGGGTTATACGGGCATTTTTTGGCCGAGCCTACGGGCTCGGGAAACCCACGATAAACTCGGCCTTGTGTCACATGCAACCCTCGTGGGGGGTGGCTAGATACCGTATGGCACTCGCCTGATGGTTATGGCGAATTTGAGACCCTTATTCAAGACTGACTCCTCAGAGGCACTCAGCTGTTACTAATATTAACTTTGAACATGGACATAATATCTTGACCGTGTTCTGAAAAAATGAAACCTTCACGGTTAAGACCCACTATGCCACGCACATTTTAGAGAACCATCCTTATTACCTTCGTATTCCATTGGTGAGATGTAACTGTCACTCGATCAGCTTCCTCTCACGAACTGCTGCTTGAAGCATCCGACGCTCAATGGGGTGTTCTAACGATCATTACAATCTTGGCCTGTTCATTTCAAGAATTATTCGTTATCTTATGTACCCTGTCTTGAGTTTATTTTGACACCCCATTTATTGCAAAGAGAAAAACTCCGTCTGCTCCTTATTACCTCTCTTGCATTTGACACCTGACAGCACCCGATATGAGGTACCTGTACAACTCCTCCAAATCCTAATTCTGTATAACGTCTGGTGTCAAGTGTTTCGAAGAATGAAATTGATCAGAAGATCTACATTCTTTAGTTCCACCAGTTCTGACCTTCATGGCTAAGACACGCCATATTACGCACATTGTAGCGAATCACCCACATACGCTCCGCGTCCTTGTAGGTGATGATATATTTTACACTCTGCAACCCCTTTCTCACAGACGCGACGTCGGAAGCCTTTCTCTGATTTATCCATGAAGAGTGTTCAGATGAACTATACTCCATAATTCCTACCCTTCACGGTTAAGACTCGCCATGCCACACACATGGTAGCAAACAACCCTCATTCCCTTCGTATTCTCCTGGTGAGATGTAAGTTCCACTCAGGCGCTTCTTCCCACGAACCCCTGGTTGGTGGGACAAACTCCCAAGAGGATAGTTCACGATCTTAACCTGTTCAAATATAGGCTCAAAATCTTAACCTGTTCAAATATAGGCTCAAAATCTTAACCTGTTCAAATATAGGCTCAACCATGACGGCTAAGACTCGACATGCTACGCAGATTGAACCAAGACACTCTACAACCACTTTATCACAGACGAAACTTCGAAAACCTCTCACTGCATTATCGCTATTTACATGAAAAGTGCTCTGACATATTACATTCCTTAGTTCCACCAGTTGTAAGCCTCACGGCTAAGACCCACAATGGCACACACATTGTAAGCGAACAACCGTCATTCTCTTCGTATTCCATTGGTGAGATGTAAGTTCCCCTCAAGTCGCTTCTTTTCACGAAACCCTGTTTGTGGAACAGACTCTCAGGAGGATACTTCCCTGATCATTACAATCTTAATTCTTCAAATAGGGGGTTAAACTTCATGGAGTATATGATGACCGGCTGAGACCAAAATGCAAATTACGATGTTTATGATGAGCTCTTTGCATCAGATTAATTTTGAAGTGTTTTAATTAAGCATGTCGGTTTATTGTGTTGTTTTTTCTGTAATTAGAAATAAAGGTGTTATGCCATCTTAAAAGGTTTTGTTGCTTAACACCGCAAATAAAATACTGTATAGTGAATGTTATTGGAAAATAAAGTTTACATGTAATATTACGCGTTCTTGTTATTTAACACCAGAATGATAATGAATTTTAATTGGAAATATATATATATATATATATATATATATATATATATATATATATATATATATATAGAGAGAGAGAGAGAGAGAGAGAGAGAGCTGCTTGGCGTTTGTTTACGTTTCTAAAAACAATACGGTAGGTTCGGGTGGTCGCGTAAGATGGCTCAGTGGTAGATGCTCTGACTGACACAAATCGGTTGGGTTTCGATTCAGGCTTGAGGCATTTGATTGTCTAATCGCACTGAGGAGCTGTGATACAGCTGCGAATGACACACACATATATATATATATATGTATGTTTATATATATGTATTACATGAATCATTCATACAAAAAACAGATATTGAAGTTAATGATATAAATGGCGGGAATCCATCTTCGCAAACAATCTTTTTTTGTATGAATGATTCATGTAATGTAAATTGAACTGTACACCACATACTTTTGTGTGTGTGTGTGTGTATATATATATATATATATAGTTACTGGACACTACTATGAGAAATAATGATTGATGTGAATTTACTCAAGGCTACCTGACGATTGCATCTAGCATGAACAGACTGTCGACTCTAAGTGTTGACTTCTATGTTCTCTTTTATATATATATATATATATATATATATATATATATATATATATATATATATATATATATATTGTTGTGGTACGATCCACCTAATTTACATAATGGAGTACCGACCATATAAATATGGGTTGGTACCGGGAAGACGATGGAGGAGGAACAAGAGATCCAATCCAGAGACTCTGCCCGACTGCGATTAAGTCAACCCATTCTGCAGGAACAGTCTTCCCAAGAATATACCAAAACTAACTGTAAATATTGTGTACCTTTTCCTTGTTTCAATACATTTTGTTTACGTACATTTTGTGTTGTATTATTATTATTCCAAGCTTATCCAAGCTTCAACATATATATATATATATATATATATATATATTTGTTGTCCTTGTTACTGAAGACTACTATGAGAAAGAAAAAAAACGTTGCTCGTTATTTATGCTTGTTTCACACCGGGACTTTTATAAATTGTATAAACGACTCTTGAATAGCGAATTTTAATGTGAAATCCAGGAAAAGTAGTTTTATTACATTTATAACTGTAATATATCTTTATAATTTGAATTGCTTCAACTAGATATATTTGCATCGGTAGTTACTATAAGGCAAATGTCAGCTTATCGGGATCCATGGTCCAAGTATACTAGTCTACTTACCCGTGCCGAAACGCCACATGACTTAAAGTTAGCTTTTTATAACTTTTGTATAAGACGACCCGCTAATTTGGGGGTGTCATTTTAAAGATTTAATGGTCGCCTTATACACGGAAATATTAGCTACATATTACTTAAGCATTATTTTTAGTAGGTGTCCATGGCTGAGTAGACACACTTTTTTTTTAAACAGTATATTTATTATTTGTAATAATTACATTATTCGGACTGTTATCCTCATCTTCATTGCCATATTCACAATGTTTCGGCTGTTGTAAGCTCCGGCTTTCGTCAGATGATTGGAATTTCGAAGCGACCCTTTTATTTCGTCCTCAAAAACACATGGCCTAGTGGATAAAAAAGTTGGTTAGATCCAATGACTAGACCCAAAGAGTTGTGAGTTCAATACCAGACGAGAGCAGTGGTGAACAGCTTGGACAGCTGAGTTAAAGAGAAATAACTAAGAAGAGGCATGGTACGGGAAACTAGAACAGTCTAACCCGGTGGACGAAATAAAGTGTTCGGAGCGAAATTCCAACCACC